TATCACATCAATTGTAAAAATAGACGAAAAACAAAATTATAGATTCATGATTTTGTTATTTTAGATTTTTTTTCTTCAAAACTTATTTAATTAATTTGTTATGTAGTACTTATTTTATAATTAATTGGTTGTCTTATTCTTGAATAAAAGTAGGGGTGAAATGCTCGTGAATGGGTGAACGTGGGAACATGTGGTTAGAAAAATGTTGTTTGTCTTGAATACAGACTGGTCAGAGGTCACGAAACTTATACTGGGTTGCCTATTCAAAGATTAAGAAAACGTCTTCCTTCTGACAATTAACCGAAGATATTGCCTGTATGTGGAGACTTATCAGTACCACTTAATTTCATCCCACTAATGCCCTTGTTACGCCATCACCAATTACACCCATACGTCAATGTGGTTACGAGTACGACAAATCCTTTCAGATTTAATGGAAACTTTATATTTTATGTTGAAAAAATGGATTAAAAAAAAAAGTATTATCATCTTGTTTGGCATGTTTTTGTTGTCAAGGAGCGAGTGCCAAAATATTCAAAATATAAGAATTTTCATAGATGCATTATATAACACACAAATCATTGTCAATTTTCACATAAGTACACAAATAATTATAATCGAAACGACTTTCAACAGTGTCGTCTTCATGGATCATCAAAACTTTAGATTTTAAAACATTCAAACAATAATTATGTGTCCACTAACCATTTGCCCGGCGGCTGTCTTTTACATTTCTTATATCTTTATCAAACTTTACTTAATTCTTTTTAGTCCTTGTGGTTTCACTGTACTTACTTTAAGGACAATTGTTTCAAATTTTATTATAGACATATATCTAAGACTTTTATTTGTCATTTCATTATAAATTTAACAACCAACTAATATTTTATTGAGTTTAATGACTAAAACAATAGTATAGTAAAACTTCACTATAATGATACCTTATATAGGAATAACCTCTAGATAATCAAAAAAAATTCTAGTCCCAACTCAAGATTGTTATAACTAAAAATAATTTTCGCATTGTAATAAATTATAATTTTTTTAAATCTCGTCTTAAGAAAGTTGCTTGCACATAATAATAACTATCTGTATATTTTGTAAAAAAATATATGTTATGTTTTATTAAAGGTATAAGATAAAATAAATTTTTTATTTAAAATTGTTTGCAATAATGATTTATGCTTTATAGTTGTTACTACATCTTTTAACTTGCGGGTATATAATAATTTGTTAGCATGGACAACTTCTTGTTGAAGCTAAAATATTTATAGCTTCTTAGCATAAATTTTTTTGTATTTCTATACCATCATCCTCAAAATTATTTTTTTTCTCTTCTTATATAGCTTGTAGCAATGACTACTACAATAACGAATTGAAATCTTATTATATACTACTAAAACATGAATTATAAAATTAAAACAATAATTTTTATAACTATATATCTATTAAATTATAATCTCTTTATGGTAATAAATTAGTTGATCACACTATTATGACTATAGAGAGATTTTACTTGTATATTGAATTGAGAAGGACCAAAACTGTAGTGTTTGAAACCATTATCCTTAAACGGTACTAAACTGAAACCACAGGGACTATAATGAATAGCCTCGTTTCTAGAGTTATATAAATCCCCTATTTCAAAGTTCTGACTAATAAACGCGACAAGTTTTTATTAAAGGTGTGGAATGGTCAGATTGAAGTTTGAACTAAATCTCAAGTGTGATTCGTCAAAAGGCCATGTGGGGTTAGCTTTTTCGATGTAGAATTTGAGAGTTCAGTTGTTTTAGACTTTGGTGAAAATTAGTCATCGATGTCTCTTTTTATAGGTAATCTTACTTGAAAAATCCCCAGAATGCTTTAGCTTGCTTTTTCTTTTATATATATATATATATGCAAAGTTTCCTGTACCTATTATATATAACGTGCATGGTCTTGATCAATGCTCAAGACTTGAATGTCCATGTGAATTTATTAATACCCTAGTTTTCTGCAGCTTCCTGGAACTTTCCTGCTGTTTGCAGATCTTCAGAAAATCAATATGAAAGAGAGAAAGAATTCCCTGGATTTTGTTTAAAGATCGCCCTTTTTCAAATCGTCTCACGCACGGTATACATAAATGTACGTGTTTATATATATATATATGCTGGTGTATTTTGTAACTTGAAGGATTTGACTAGGGTTAACGTAAATCTCCTTGAAGTTCTGTTTCAGTCTTGTCTCTAAAGCAGCTAGAATGAATTTTCTAGTTTTTTATTTGACGAATAAGTCAAAAAAATAGAGATTAATGGAGTAAAGGCCTGGTGTCTGCAGCTAGCTGCAGGTTTTTTTTTTTTCAATAGAGTGTTGCGTAATCAAAATAGATCATATACTTCTACGAAAACCACTTTAATTATAGATTAACACTTGAATTAGTAGGGCACATAATTATTATCCTGTTTTGACTCTCAACATCAGATTTATAATATAAATTAGCAGGTGAATAGGTGTCTTGAACACTATCGGGTGGCCAGTAATCAATTAGGATTTTAGTATATTATTCAAAAAATTTTAATTCGATCACTTGAATTGCTAATAGGGTGTTATGAAGATTTATCTGACGTCACTTTAGAGCTTCAAAAGATTAGTTGAGTACGCACAAACTAGTCTGAACGCCATCATCAACAAAATCAAAAAATTAGCTGCCTTGAACTTGAAGTCGGACCTGCTAATTATTATATATGAATGCATGCACCTAGCGTCATTTATGGCAGACACAAACAAAGAAAAGTGAACTTTTGTGATTTTAAATCCAACCTACAAGGGACAAACCTCCTCAAAAGGAGAAGAACAATCCATTATGTTTATATATGTGTTGACTCAAGATCTCTTTGGATCCTTGAGCCTCAATTATCTAAGTTGATGTTGATCAAGTCATCAAGAAAGAACATTGTTTATTATATCTTCATATGTATTATCCTTTTCTCTTTATGATAATAATAGAAAAACAACAGTCTCACAAGTCCATAGATTCTAAAAATCAACATATTCATTGAATGAATTCGTTTATTTTACTACTACTACTGTATTTTTAATCTAAATGCATATCATTGGGGAAGTTGCGTACCAATATTTCAAACCTTGAGTTGATTATTTTTTTATTTTTAGGTTCAAATCTTGAGGACACTTACACAATAACTGATCTTTTAGATTTGTGGATATACAATAGACCTTGGATTAGTTAAAGTATGCATAAACTGACCGGATACCCAATTATCCAAAAACCTATGATAACAACACTTCTTAATATCTATCATTTCTTTCAAGCAACGGACTCATCCACTGAATTTATTTGAATCTGGTCTTCACTTTTTATGATTGCAGGTCGGCTTGTGATTTGCTCCAACAGAACAATCCCAAACTATAGAAATCACTATTCATATTCAACTTTCTAGTTTAATTAAAATGCAATCTACTGATAAGAGTATGCAATTACTAATTAATTGAAACATGGAAGAGCGTACTCTGGATTATGATATGCTGTTGTGCCCATGGGCCTTGGAAAGGCCAAAATCTACAATTTTAGCATCCAAATTTTGACCCAACAGAATGTGTGCATTATTGGTGGCTTTATCCATGATGCAAAGACTCTAGTGCTGCAAGCAGAGATCTATCGTTAGTACAAAATAAAAGCAAATATCATGTTCTAAATTTAAGCATTGAAATATTAAGGAAAAGACCATTGGCATCAATTACTATGTGAAGTCTTATTTACCTTCTCTACTCTAAGTATGTAAACATGTAACCGTAAATTATCAGGTAATAGTTCTTGACACGTTCATGTTTATCATATCCATATCACCCATTTAACAGTGTGTAGACGAATGGCATGGCAAAGAGATAGTCCTTTAGATAACCATTAACCATTTAGTCATGGATAAGTGCCATATTATTACCAACATCACAATATTCAGTGAAGAAGGCCTAGTTCTTATGGTGAGCCCTCATCAAAGTTGAGCCTGAACATCAACAAAGTATTCATTAAAAGCTTTTTAGTACTCTTGATAAAGGGAATTCTACCTGCACTGTTTCTTTTAAGATCATTGTATTTAACTGTTACTAAAAATGTCATCCAAATTTTGGAATTCCTTAGGCCTCTGAGATGATGAGACAGAGAGAATGTTGATGGCAACTTGTGTGCCATTTTCAAAATTTCTCGTGCCCCTGGTACACACTACACACTCCCAAAACCTCCGTTGCTAATAACAGTTTGGAACTAGTGAATGTTTAAAACCTCAGCCTAACTAAACAACCGGTTTTGTTTGTTCATTCTGCTTCTGTAGCTCAATTTTACACTAACCGAAGATTGCATATAAGAAAAGAACCTGACTTTCTTTTACTTTGTAGCTTGAGGTTCCATAGATTAATCAACCCAACTGGAAGGACCAATGCTGATGAGATAACTGGAACGAGAAAGAAATTAGATGAATGTAATCAATTAGCATATTTTTCACATATATCATATTCAGAATTTAAAGCATTTCCATTTCCTACCCAACACTAGGCACCACCAATCAAGGAAAATAAACAATGGCCTTGATATGAAATTTTGGATAAATTAAGGGTTAATTTCACATGGGAGAAATACCTCAGTGTAAGTAATCCATTCCTTGATCTTTCTGTATGAGCCGTGGGAACAGAGCCAGACAGTTTGTTGCCTTGTAAATTTCTGCTAATATAAAAATTGTTTCTTTTATTTGTTCTTAATTGTATTATTACAACTCCAATGCTTGATAACATATAGGAATTTCACGGCTCTTGAATTAGATACTATGGAAACACATAAGTAATCATGAATAAAAGATCCAGTGGATTCCTGCCGCAGGATAGGCTGAATTTCCTTGTGTGGACTGGTTCCTTTCAAGCCGCGCTGCCGCTACTTGAGCAATGTACACGTAAACATAAAAGGGCATTTGAGTAATTTAATAGTCAAATGCAACACTTATTTCCCGCCCAAAACCTGAATATTTATTAATTATCATCTGGACCCTTCTCACACATTTCAGCTTTATTTTTTATTTTGAGTTTTGGGAGAGACAGTTTAGCTTCAAGTGGAATCGTCCCGATGGTAAATTAATCCCTCTGAACTCTTAATTTTCTTAGATTTTAATCATGCTTAGGCTGTTTTCTCCAATTTTTTTTAATAAAACTTTCTTTAAGAATCGATCCTTTTTACTAAATTGTGATTACTTGTGTAATTTGATTAATCACACCTTGTACGATTATATGATTTTCTTTAAAACTATCACTTATGAACCCTGGGACATCTTTGACCGCTGAGAAAATATATGAAAGGAAAGATAATTAGAAATTTGAATCTGGTAATTTTTAATATCTGATGTCACTTGATTTGGTTGATATACGGACTTTTTTTTATTTTTTATTTTTTAATTCTTTAAGAAGCCGAAAAACGCATTGACGGAGATGAGAAACTTATTTCCACACCATTTTCTCAGTCGCCCTACAGAGGGATCGTGGAATTTTGAATGCAGTTGTTTGGTAACGTAGACCAGATGACTGAAGAAAATCTTTGAATATTTTGTTAATATCTGCAGTTTTTATATTTAAAAAAAAAAAAAAAAAAAAAAAAACAGTTGCTGTTCTGGGATTAATTACCTTTCACAAGAAAATAAATTCTGTATTTATGAAAATTGAAGTTCAAGAATGTAGATCTATTATTGTATTTTTTTTAGTAGCTTCGGTCTATCTCATGTCATCTATTCCTTCGAACTAATAGTTTGAACAAGATGGTGTGCCTGTGCAAGTTTACTTTTTCACTTTTTGAAATGTGTTGCAGTCTAAGAAACGAGGTCTTTCATTAGAAGAGAAGCGTGGAAAGATTCTTGAAATATTTTACGAGTCTCAAAACTTCTTTCTGGTGAGTACACTTTATGGTTCCAATTTCCTTTTTGGGTTTGCATTTCTAATACTTATAGTATTGTTTCCATCATGTTAGCTTCTTTTATGCAACTTCTATTCCACTTTGTTCAAGTGACCTAACATAGATGGCGGTGATGAGCTAAGGATTTTTGTCTGGGGGGTGATATAAAAAGAAATAACTGAGGGGCCATGCATCAATGTTGCGAAGAGATGGATAAGGGATGGTATAATCCTTGCCACTGAAAGATAGCGATGTGTCAATTTTGTGAAGGAATGGATGCATGTTGTTCAATAACTCCATGGATTTTTTTGCGCCGAAATGCGACAGGAATTAGATTCTTGAGACTTTCGTGGTTTTGAACAAGTGAGATTCTGTTCTTAGAAGTGTTCTATATCCTTGTATCTAGGATTCAAGGATTATGGTATGGCTCGAGGGTCTTAGTTTGGCAGCTTGGGATAAGGATATGCTGAGGATAGCATGTGCCCTCTTGAGAACCTAAACAAGGTTTTAATGTGTTGTTTTCATAGTTTTTAATATTATCATTTCATTCTCAACCCCTGTTTATTTTACAAGTTGAGGTGATACGAAAGAATGATATATGCTACCACCCTTACCATAATTCACCTGTCAATGATGAAGTACATGCATGAAGAGTACTTTCATGCTTCCAGAGTTACTGTGCAGTATCTTAGCCACATAGATTTTAGTAAACTTTTGGTTGCTTGCTAGAGCTTTATCTATTTAACTTCCATTCCTTCAAGCATTAAGCAAGGCATATATTGGTTTGCAGGATTTAGTTCTTTGAGTTTAGATGCAACTTTGAATTATTAACTTCTCTACTTCTTGCAATGAAGGTTACATGTCAGAAATACTCAGTGTTTTCAACTTGTGCTTTTATGATTAATTTTAGTCAATATACAAGCTATTGTTACATTTGTGGAACTTCCTGCGTGGTTTGTTGATGATTCTTCACTCAAACTTTCTTAGAAAATTTTCTGTTTGCTCCTTCCTATCGTATCAGTTGTGATATTGTAGCAAACATTTTCTCTGCCAAAAGGCCAAGTGCCATTTGGAGTATGAAACAAAAGAGATATACTTATTTATATATTTCTCAATCCCTGTCCAAATTTCTTTAGTTTTGCAATTTGAACAACAATAATGGAGGGTTATTCCTCATCATTTAATGCTCTACTAATTTGGAGCACAACATTTAGCTGAAGGTTTGAATGGCATGAATCCAAGCATTGGTATTAAAGCATAAGTCTTCTATTTCAGCTGAAGGAACTTGAGAAGTTGGGTCCCAAGAAAGGTGTGATTACCCAGTCAGTGAAAGATGTTGTCCAAAGTTTAGTAGATGATGATCTTGTTTCAAAGGACAAGATTGGGACTTCTGTGAGTATTTGAAGTTTCAAGGAGCACTAGCAAGATTCTCTTTTTTACTCTCTCACTCCTTTTAATAATACATACAAATTACAAAAAATAGTGGTAAGTTGGTAATATAATATAATAAAGTAGCAAATTTGTCTTTTGTAAATATGTCAAGAGGGATATGGGAGAGTGAGTAAGCGAATATTGTTAGCATTTCTCATAAATTTATGAGCTACATAGATAAATATTACATAACAGATATGTCCAGCCACCTAATAATGCTAATAATTTGGAAATTTTCAGGTATACTTTTGGAGCCTACCTAGCTGTGCTGGTAATCAGGTAATGTTCAAATGCCTTATATTTTAGCATGAATTTCATGTAGTTTTCTTCTTCTATATTTAAAAAGAAAAATCATTTGACACGAAACCATTTAATTTTTATGTAATTATTTAACAGTTAAGGAATGTCTATCGAAAACTTGAATCTGATCTGCAAAGCAGTAAAAAGCGATTTGGAGAACTCGTTGATCAGTGTGATGCATTAAAGAAGGGCCGAGAAGAATCTGTAAGTATATCAAACTTCAATTCTTATGGAAGCTTTATCCGAATTTTATTAAATAAGCACAATTACTTTCTTCTTTGATGTCTGTTTTTCAAACTTGGTCCAGGATGAAAGAGAGGAGGCTGTAAAGGAGCTGAAAGACATCGAACTGAAGCATAATGAGTTGAAGGTTGTGTTTCATCCAGATCCTATGTATGCATTGAGAGATATAATGGTTGGTTCAAGTGTGTAGTAATCTCCCTAGTTACTTTTTCAGGACGAGATGGGACAATATGCAGACAATGATCCAGCTGCCTTTGAGGCAATGAGTTAGTATTCTGTCTGAAACATTCTTCTCTGGAAAGTAGCAGTGCTTGATTTTACACGTTTCAGAACTGAGTAGTTGGATTTGACATTTGCAGAAAATGCAACTGAAGTCGCTCATGCAGCAGCAAACAGATGGACAGGTTTTACCTTTTACACATTTTCACAACCCCCTCTCTTTGATCTAGTTCCAGTTGAACTGTAATGTCATTCTATGTGATTCTAATAATTTTGAGCAAACAACTCTACAGACAACATCTTCACTCTGCGACAGTGGTGTTCAAATAACTTTCCTCAGGCTAAAGAGCAGCTTGAACACCTGTACAGAGAGGTATGTTTGCACTCCCTTCATCTTCCCTTCAGTATCTAGTCCAGTTTCCTTTGTTTGACAGGTTTCTATTATTACTGAGATCTTGCTCTTTAAATCTAATTGCAGGTAGGAATAACTGATGATTTTGACTATTTGGAGACATCACCAGTTGTTCCACTCAGCTCAGTCGATAAGCTGGAAGGTACTCCTTAGTATGACTTATCTTCCCTTTGGGGTGGAACTCGATGATTCATCAGTAGACACTCGCAATGACTAATACGTGTAAAGCCTGTCAACTCCATATTACATACTTTGCACGCAGATGTGTTGTTCAAGGATGTGTGAAATAATTATACATAGCCAGCCGTATGCTGAATAAACTGTTCTCATTCAAATTAACTTGAGTCATGTGTGCTGTAGAAAGAACAGGTATTGAGTTGATTTTTTTTTCAGCCTCAGTTTATGGTTCGATTCGCTCATCAGTCTTTGATACAGTAAATGGAGATTTCGTCAGAAGCTACGCGTTTGTGATATACCCTTCTTGGTATCCGGCAAATTTGTTGAATGTGTAAAATGATGAGCCAACTCTAGCAAATTAACAATCTTCTTTATGCTTCAGGTCAAAGAATTCATACATTTCTTGGGCTTCTTTAAGGTTTTTAAAAGCTTGTTTTATAATGAAGATAAGGACATAAAACGTGATGGAAACTGATGGTGCTTATCAAACTCTGGTTTTTAAACAACTCCAGTTGTTTTAAAGTGCGGACGGAGAGCTCATTGTATTATGTGTTACGTAAGATCTCACAGATATTTAACAATATTTAGATTCGTATTTCAAAAGTGAGTGATAAAAACTAAGGATTATCAAGAAGACAAAGAGTAACTAAACAACTTTTTTGTATCCAAATAATGCCGTAAAATCGTGGTAGCATGTCATGTAGTATTGTTCCCAAATTCTCTGAAATCTGAATTCACCGTCCAACAACTCTTCAAAATTGAAAACCGCAAAGCCTATCCAACTCAACTCAAAACTCAAAAAAAAAAAAGAAAAAAAAAAAATGCCCATCATTGGTTGGACCGTGTCTACTGTCCACAGCTCAATATTACGTTAACTATGAACGTGCATCCGTTACTGGTTGTCCACGTGTCATTATGAACGGCTCAAAGCTACAGTAGAGCATTTGTGAGCCAGAGTGGCCTTCTTTTAAGCCCAAAAGGCCAATAAATTGTCCAGTCAGGAAGAGAAGTCTCAGGGTGAAAATTTATTGAGATGGATACGTTAAAATTGCAGTTCATTGGAATGGGCATCATCATCTCCACACTCGTAGTATTAGGAGTAGGTATGAGCAATGCTCAGAACCTTTCACCGGCACCTGCACCTACAAGTGATGGTTTGTTTTCTTTTTCTCTCCTCTTTTTGCAATTGGGATTTATTTAAATCTTCATTTTATGTAGAATGAATTGAATTTTGGTTTGGCAGGGGTAGCAATTGATCAGGGAATTGCTTACGTTCTAATGCTGCTTGCTTTGGTTCTTACTTATATCATTCACTGACGGATAATCTGCTATTTTTCTTGTTTCTTCTTCCATATCATTAAGTATCCAAATTTGTAATTCAATGTCTGGATGGAATGGCATAATTTTAGTATTATAACTTCATGCTACCCACTATTTTATTTGTGTTGATACAACTCTTACTCTTCACTTGACAAAAACCACAAGTTCATTAGATTGTATCTATATTGTCTGTAATATTAAACTATTAACAGCCATAAAATCTTGCCAGAAGTAAATTGATAATGATTTCAAATAAATTAGTTTCTGTCAGTTATATTTATGCTCCGGTTTTGCATACTCTCGAGAAATACTTTGATCCTGGGTGGGTAAGAACAAAATTGCAGAACCATAATCCAATCCAAAATGGTCGAGGGCGGCTAAAAGCCAATCTACAGAACTTCTTCCATAAACTCAACTCAACCTTAAATCTGAGTAAATTTATTTATTCCAAAATAATATACTATTCATTTGAAAATCCATATATTCGAAAATAATATTAATTTTTGACGAACGGTCTTTTTATTACAAAAAATAAATTCAATATTTCTCATGTAAAATTAGGCATTTCATAATTTCCATTTCAATCGAGAGGCACCACTTGTTCAATACAGATGAGATTATAACAAATTCTTTCAACCATCTAGATTTTATACAAATTGACCTTTTAAATTCCCCAAAAATAATATATTTAAATTTGTGCATGCAGATGAAAATAGTAAAGCAATAATTTCTTTTAAAAAAAAGTAAGGGATATCTCATCAGCTGGAATTTCTCTCATTTTGTCTTAATATAATAATTAATAACAAAGTGATAGTGATTTTAAATACTTAGGCAAGTACACCATCTTGACTTCCAAAATACAACCATGTATTATGAACAACTAACAACCCAACTGAATATTTGCAATACCTTCCTTTATATAAATATTTAACTTTGCAGTATTTCATAAGATATAAATTTTACCAAAGCCTCTCAGTACATTGACCCAAAAAAAAAAAAAAGGGAGGGATCGCAAGACAATAGGACTCAATTAAAAGGTTTAAAAAAACATAGTACAGCATAATACATATAATGAATGGTACTTCATTTAGATTATGCAAATCTTATATACAGTCTATTCACTGAGTGCACAAAGAAATCCCGATGCATAATCGGAGTAGAGCATAAATCACCATACAGAATATGGCCAGTCTTTAAAAAATTATCTTCATATCTGAGCAACAACACCTGCATTAGTTCAGATGATAAGTCAATGCTAGATGCTGATGAAGTGTTAAGACCACTACTAGCTTTCGCAAGAACCAATTAAAATGGAAAATTGAATTAAAGAAAGGGGAGAAAGAGTTAAGAACCTGCTTAAAGTGCCATCTCAGCTTGTAACGCAGCAAGTTCATCCTCCTCAGCCGTCCGCTTCTGTGGAACAGGGCGAGCTTGTTGCCTGCCTGCAGGAACTTGCACTGGAGCTGCTGGAGCTGTGGTTGCAGGCTGAAGAAGTTGTTCTTCCAACTCTGCACCTTCCAGTTCTTCAAGCTCTGCTTCCAACTCATCCTGTGTTGCCAAAAATGCCAACAATGTTCAGAGTTTCATTAAGAGAACATGGATGAAAAGAGAATAAAATAAAATTTCTCTCAGAAGAATTTCAATACACATCAAGAGAATAATAACCTCATCAAAATCGGCAGCTGCGCCAATAGGAGTTGACAATGCTTCCTGGATCTGTTTCATGTTCTCAGTCTGCTCGTTGATCTCATCCATGGTCTTGTCCACATCATCTATATTCCTGAAAACAACCCATAATTTTCACACACATTAGCCGCTATTATTATTATTATTATCATCATTATCTAAATTCTCTGGTGATATATATTATATGATTCTCCATGTCCTTCATGAAACCAAAAACATGATAAAATTGAAGATATATTTTGCCTTCACTAATAGAACTGCACCACCTACCCAGGTCTAAGCAAAATAATTGTGAATGGATTTCCAAAATGAACATTGGTCAAAAAGAGAAACTTGATCATAGATTCACAAGAAAACAAGCACTTTGATATGCACATTAACGAAGGTTTCAACAAATTTACAAACATTTTCAACTTCTCCAGTTAAACTGTGAAAGGCAAATTGCATAACAGACCATGTACCAAATTCCAAAACATTCCAGGAAACACAAACTTTTCCCCTCATATAATGCAAAATAATTAAAAGGAAAAGGGGGAAAAAAATTGAAACAAAGAAAACATGCCATATACCATGGTAACTGATTCCAATGACATGCACAATGAACATGCTAAAACCAATAGAATGTATGATGGAATTGAAAACTCTGGTAACAAAATATACACTTTATCAAGCTAAAAAGATACATACGTTGCTTTATGCATTGCCTTCATTGCAGATGCTCCTGTCCTCAATGCATCTACAGTCTCAGTTGTGGCTTTAGCACCCTCTAACATAATCATCTGTGACATTATAAATAATAGCAACTTAGTATAAGCTGATGCGCAAAAACTAAACATTGATTAAAAGTTTCATGCTCACCTGATCATGAATTCGCAATTGAAAATTCCCAAGCTGCTCAATTTGTTGTTCATATAGCCTCTTCCTCTTCAAACATTGTATAGCAGCTGCATGCATGCAACACAGGTAATTAGTAAGCAAATAATCATACATGCACTGGAGATTTTATTTACAAACTAGCCAAGCAAACAAATAAGATAACAGAAATTTCTCTCACTGAAACTACATGACCAATTTCTCACACTAATACAATTAAAAAAAAAAAAAAATCCCATAAAAATTTCCTTGCACTTCTCAGCCGTACCTCTTTTGTTCTTTGCTTTGGAGTATTCCTTAGCTCTTTCAACCTCTGCAGAAGCCTTTTTCAGGAGTACTTTCTCCTTTTTCTCAAGCATTTCAAGAGTCTACACAATGCACAAAAGATACAGTTTTACACTACGCACAATGGCAACAACATAGAAACAACCATACCAGACAATAGCAGCGTCATAATCTCAATGAAATCATATGAACAAAACAAGTCACAATAGATACAAGTGAAAAAGAAATATCCCTACTGCTAAAATTTGGACTAGATTCTAGAGTCAAATTAAACAATATGATTCAATTGCATTTAAGAATTCATAATTATACCCCACTTTATTTCTAGTTACTACCATCAGAAAAGTTGGACTTGGTTTTGATTCCTCAATGTTGCCGGGTGAATAACAAAAGTATTGTCTTGTGTAATTAGAAACATCATTCTTTAATCAATTTTTTTTTTTTTTTTTGGTCTTTTTTTATTCCAAAAATTACTTCAACTAATAAATGCAACAAGAAACACTTAAAGAGAACATCAAAGTTTCGATTGCAATAAACAGTTACTCTCTCCTGATCAACCAACAACCTCTAATCAATTAATAATTCCTCCAAAATCATAACAAAATCATAAATAAACAAACAATCGGAACAAAATAGATTTAACCCAAAAAAAAAAGGAAACTCATGGGTAAAGAAGAAAGGAGACACCGATTGTAGAAAATAATACCTCATTTAATTTGTCAAGCGTAGTTAGAGCATTGGTTTCCTGTTGAGGTTTCCCAAAAAGCCGACTAAACATGGTTGATCCTCCGCGAATATAAAAAACCCTCGATCTTCCCTGTTAGAATACCATCCAAAAACCTATTTCAAAATTCCATAACCTAAAACAACAAAGTTCTGCCCTAACAGAAACTATTGATTTCAACGAACGATCGGACCACAAATAAAGTGTATAAATATAAAAAAAAAAAAAAAAAAAATTAGTACCGGTGAAAATTAATTAATTTCGGAAATTCGATTAAAAGATACGCGAGAGAGATCTGCGAATTATAACAGAGATAGTGAAAGAGGTTGTGTTTGGTATTTTCTTAAGCGTGTTGTTTTGGAGTTTTAGATGGAGAGGGGAAGTTGCTTTGCCTTTTCTACACGACGTTGACTCTCCACGTGGCATCCACTTGATTGGTTTATGACTTTATGCGGCGTTTACTATAAAATTAAGTGGACGGATGTTTTCACTTCCTCCGACTACAATACGCTGCCGTTTTAATGTGGGCTGTATACTGTCACTGTGGGATTATTTTGTAAAAATGCTCAGATTCTGGTGGATAAACAAAGCACCCCTATAAGTTATAACAGAAAAAAAATGGAACAGCATTTTAAAATTGAATTTATTTATTGGTTTTCGATTTCGGAAATAGAAGATTTAATGCATTCTATTAAAACTTAAAACTTGATTAAAACGAGTTTTAAATGTTTTCAAAATGAATTTTCAAATAAGATTATAAATCTAAAACCATTTGATTTTTTAATTAGTTTTTTTTTTAATTTACATAAAAGAATGTGAATGACAAAATGGCCCATTGGTGTATTAGCCAGTGGCTCTAAGCTTTTGAAAGGATAATTTAGTAATTTTTCTTTTTTTAGTATCCCAGGGTGTCCGGGTCAACTTGCATGCACCTCAACTAGTTTTATGGGGCTAGTTAGGGGTGTTCAAAAGTCGGTTAACCGTTTTTTTGAACCAAACCGGTTTTTTAGTTTGAAAAAATTCCTGAACCGAAATCAAACCAGTTTGGAGGGAAAACCGGTTTTCCCTTTTTCTTTATAGAACTTATTTTTTTTTATTTTTTCCTAAATTAAATTGTAAATATAAATAATACATATCTAAAAAAAAATTAAACATTCATACATATCAATTGACCACTACTAACAATACATTAAAAATATTATTATTATTTTATTTAATATATAATATATTATATTATTATTTTTTATTTAATATATAATTCTTATTTTATTTAATATATAATATATATATTTGTAAAACCGGTTCAAAAAAAAGGTTTCAGTTAACCGCTTTTTATTTTTTCCCGAACTGAAAATTCAGTTTTTGAATTTTTCAAACCGTAACCAAACCGTTTTTTCAGTTAATCGGTTTTTTGGTTCGATTCAGTTTTTGTATTTTTTTGAACACCTCTATCACCTGAAACTAATGCTTTTTCCCTTGCTAGCTTTCCACCATTAAGACTTGTTTACTTCCTACGCTATTCGATTCGCTGGCATGTCCGGTCTCATACGAAGGAAAGATTAACGATTTCAATCAACCTTTTTTTGTTTTGGTATCTGGGGGTGTTTTGGCCAGTTTGCAACATCTCAACTAATCTTTTAAGATCCTAAAGTTAGCGGTCAGGTAAGTCTTCAGTAATTACCTTTTATTAATAGTTATAAGAATTCAAATTCAAGATCTTTTGAGTAATATATCTAAGAGTTTTAAATAAATCATCAAGCTATCTAAAGATAATTGATTTCAATCTCTATCATGGGAAATCAGTCATGCATAATTTGGACATATGACAACATTTTCACTAGTTATGTAGTTCAATTTAATTCGAGTAATGCTACAATCATTGACAGTAATACATCGAATGACATGATAAAATCCTGACTGTTAATTAATATTAAATTAAAATTAATTAATGGTCAGAATTTTATTATGTCATTTGGTATATAAATTCGATACACTACCTTCGGTAGCCTGTATTATTTTCCAAAATGGAAAAGAAACATTCGGATTCCATGAACATTAATGAAACATCACACTCCAAATCCCAGTCCCCACCTGAATGTTACCTTCAATTTGCACATGCTGATCTCACCTTTCGTTGGATTTTCTTTGTTGTTTTTTTTTCATGTTGAGTGTGTTCCCCAAAGTTATAAGCACCATTCTACCTCTCTAACTCCTCATTTATCTCCTTCAATCCATCAATCCTCCATGGCTTTCTCCAATTTTCTCTCCTTCTTTTTAACTCTCTACTTGTTTATGCCAACACCCATTTCCTCTTCTCTTTTTTTAAGCTCAGAAGACTTGTCTAAAATCCCTGTCAAATTCCTCGACTTTGCCAAGAAACCTGAGATTTTTGACTGGATGGTGAACATTAGAAGGAAACTTCATGAGAATCCTGAACTTGGTTTTGAGGAATTTGAGACTAGTAAACTTATAAGAGCTGAGCTTGATGAGATGGGCATCCCTTATAAATACCCAATTGCTGTTACTGGTATTGTTGGTTATATTGGGAGTGGTGAGCCGCCTTTTGTTGCAATCAGAGCTGATATGGATGCTCTAGCTATTGAGGTCTGTTTAAACTTTACTTACTTCTTGATTGCTTTTATTACTGCCTTTGTAAATTGCTATTGCTAACACACCTTGTGTTGGAGTTGGGTGATCATTGAAACATAGATGTTTATGTTACTGCGTTAGTGTTGAAACAGGAAGCTGTAGAGTGGGAGCACAAGAGTAAAGTTCCTGGTAAGATGCATGCTTGTGGGCATGATGCTCATGTTGCTATGCTTCTTGGTGCTGCAAAGATGCTTCAAGAGCTTCGCCGCGAATTGAAGGTTCTTTTCTTTTTCCTTTATTGCTCTTTATATATGATAGTATGATTATTGATTGTCTGATTCTCCAGTTACAGAACTTTTGATATCTTGATGACATGGGATTGTTTAATTGCGTGGACATAGTGATCACTTGTATTAAAAAGTGTTAAGTAGTCCCATTAGAATTTGTTGCATGCTCTCTTGACACGTCTGACATGCTGAACTGAATGGATTATTTTGATTTCCTAGAAGAATTTAAACCATCTTCCTTTTGAATAGTTATTCTGGTTTGTGGATATTAGCTCTCTGACTGGAGGAAGAGATAGGGATGGGAGGGGAAGCGTAGAGGTGAAGAAAAAAATTATTGTACTTGGTTGATAGGATGGAAAGGAGAGCGTCTCTCCTTTTTAACTTTTTGGTGATCCTTGAAGAGGGAAGCGAGAAAGGCCAATGTTATATTGATCCATATCTTTTAATATTTATGTGTGATAAGGGTAAAATCATAAACTGATTTTCAAGTATAATAGACTATTCTCAGTCTCTCATCCATCCAATTATGGGGTGATTGTGTTTTGTATGTTTGGAGGGATTGCAAATCTTTCTCATTCACTTTCCTTTCATCATCTCTTTCCAACCAAACAGTTCAAATGGTCTATCCTCAACCATTATCTTTTCAACTTGTTTCGCTATATACTTTTTTGTTCCCTTTATCGGTGGACTTTGAATAATTTAGTAATTTTAGTTTTTGGAAATCATTATTTATTCAAATTGCTGACTAATACAGACATTACAGTGTATATCACATCATGAACTCTGTTGTGATGTGATCTGCAGGTTTTGCCTCATGAATGAGTTGTTCCTAACCACGTTGATGGTAAATGATTATCAGTGTGCTTATAAATTTGTTGCACTTGATAAACTGTGGGAAAGAGTGGTGATGGTGTGTGGACAAATATAACTATAAACTTATATCTATTTTGTATGTGGGTATCCAAACTGCAAATTCACCTAGAGGAAGTCTACTGCTTGTTGTGGACTAGGAACCTTCTTGAAAATATAAAATCTAACAGATTCAGTATGAATATCTCACTCTGCATTTTCTGTTTAATTCTTCACTTGTTTGTCTTGCGTGCCTATTGTAAAAGAGTGAATTGCTACCGCTGCAACTGTCACTTGCATAAATTTCACAGTTGCTGCAGTAATAATATTGTTCAAATGTAACATTTTGTGTTGTTAGGTAGGGACACTACTCAAGGATTCCCCATGTATAAGAAGTTCTTGCTGTCCCTTCTTTGCCCTTGTGCTATGTCATTTATACTGGGAAACATCCTTTTTGCCCAAAAAAGAATAACATTTATGCTATCATATACATACTCCAATCCTTTCTTGATCTAATTTTACATGAGAATTTAAGGATATGTAACATGTGCATCTAAAATCATGTCTGATCATTATATATTTCATTTACTATTTTCCTTTTTATTCATACCAATTACAAGCCTATATTTTCTCAAATGAAAGCTCATATGAAGAGAAAATACCAGCATGTATGGGTGTGTATGTCACTTTATCTGTTAGCCCACGAGAGATAATGCAAGTATCCACTCTGTTCAGAAGAAAATATTGTGAAAAATTCTTGTTTTGATAGGGAACAGTCGTGCTAATTTTCCAACCAGCCGAGGAGGGATTTGGTGGCGCAAAGCAAATGTTAGATGCTGGAGTGCTAGAGAACGTTGACGCCATCTTTGGGCTTCATGTCTCTTCAAAATTCCCGATTGGCACAGTAGCCTCCAGGTCTGGCCCTATTATGGCTGGAAGTGGTTTCTTTGAGGCAATAATCAGTGGAAAAGGGGGGCATGCTGCCATTCCTCAGCACACGATAGACCCAATCTTAGCAGCTTCTAACGTGATTGTTAGTTTACAACATCTAATTTCACGTGAAACTGATCCCTTGGATGCAAAGGTAGTCAGTAGTCTCTCTCTTATAAGTCTTATTTGTATAAGCAAAAAAAAAAGTGTCTTTTATCCTACATCCCATGATTTTACGCATTGTTTTAAACCTGTTTTAGTTTTGTCATCAAGTCTTTGACACCCTATAGTCTATGATTCGATACGCTTATGGTTTAATTGAAAAGTTTGATTTTTGTTTCTTCATGATTATAGTTATACCATCTTGCTATTCGCCTTAGAGAACAAACTTGAATATTTAAAACAAAATACATCTACTGTAGATCACATTCCATTAAAAGATCTGTGGCTATATTTAACAATAGTTGACTAAGGGATTTTACTGCCATTTGGAAGTAGTATCATTTACATGTTTTTGTCCTCAGGTTCAGTCAAAAGGTAAATAGTTTTAAATTATTTTTCTGTCTTCAATTTCTAGCTTAAGATAGACATTTCCATATAGAATGCTCACTGCTTCCAAATTGGAGAATAAAGAATAAATAAACATTTTTCATTTCCATGTTCTGTCAAATCATTTACTAAACAAATGGAAATAGAATAATAAGAGGCTTCTGAGGTGCCCAACGCATGGCAATGCTTTTTCAATTAGTGATTCCAATATTAAAGCGTAATTTTGCAGGTTGTAACAGTTGCAAAGTTCCAAGGAGGTGGTGCCTTCAATGTTATTCCTGATTCTGTTACAATTGGTGGTACGTACAGGGCATTTACAAAAGAAAGCTTCGTTCAACTTAAGGAAAGAATTGAAGAGGTATACTCGTTAACTGATTCTGGTTTGCATGCTCCCTTCAATTCTAAAGTTGAAAAGTTCTGCAGTCTTTTCATTATTCTTCGTTCTTCCCTCTGGGTGGTGAAAGATGGAGTCATAGAACTCTTCAAATTATTTTTTTTAATAATAGTCTCCCATAGGTATTAATTCTCTCACAATTCAAGTGACAGGTTATCATGAAACAAGCTAGTGTGCAGAGGTGCAATGCAACAGTCAACTTTAATGCAAATAATATGACCAGTTACCCAGTGACGGTAAATAACAAAGAGTTGCATGAGTACTTCCTAAGTGTTGCCAGAGACATGCTGGGTCTTCACAACATCAAAGAAAAGCAACCAGGGATGGGTGCGGAAGACTTTTCATTTTTTGCCGAGGCAGTTCCAGGATACTTCTTCTACATTGGTATGGATGACAAGATGAAAGGGCAGTTTGAAACAGGACATTCACCTTACTTCAGGATCAACGAAGATGCACTTCCGTATGGTGCTGCCCTACATGCATCATTGGCTTCAAGATACCTCTTGGAAAATCGACCCAAATCTTCTTCACCAAAGGGAACCCTTCATGACGAGTTGTAAGGAGCTCATACATTATTGATACGAGTCAAGTATTTCACTTATGCAAAGCACTACCACGATATTGAACTGCATTTAAGACCAGTAGAAACAACTGCCATCTGTAAATTTCACTTATTACAAGTAATTTCAACCAATCAACTTTATGTTGAATTCGCTTTAAATATGATAAGTATGATCTATTGATGTAGTTGCAATGAACTTAATACGCTTGATCCAGGTCTATTCTCAGATTTTGCTCAAAAACCGGGTTCTTTGGCCAACTATTCCAATTATAGATGAAAATGTGGAGAGGAAAAACAATAGGCATCAAGTTCTCTTTTTTCTTCCCTTTGCCGTTGAAGTTAGATAAAAGTGCTTACCATAAAAATCAGAGTTCAATTCTGGCAAAATTAAGCAATCTGCCGAAATTGGATTCTCTTTGAACATTATCGCCATCTTCATAAAGGAAATACAGTTGCCATTACGAAATCTCAAACAAATAAAAGAAAGTGCTAAATAAATGATTCTTTACGTGATTGTGTCAACTCTCTCTTCTCTCACCCAAAGCCTAACACGGTACTTAATGCATAATCATGGCCTAAAAACCAGCATATTAATTGCAATCTATAGTTACTTCTAATCCTCATATAATGAATTTAGTATATAGCAAAACGGAGCCTTTCAATTTCAAGTCCATACATCATAATACTAATTCTAGTTTCACATCTACAGATCTTATCACCATGCAATACTTTAAACCAAAATCCTTGAATCTTACTTCAGATCACAGACTTCCAACTCACACCATTTCTGCAGATGTTGCTAATGCAAGACTCCAGAGTTCTTCTCCAAATCGCAGACCATCCACTGTACCATTATTTTCGCCCTGTATTGATAAAACAAAACATAGAAGCAATGATGATGATAAAAATCATGAACGGTTTTGGAAATCATTGAGGCCTTTTTTGATGTTCTTTAGTCGAAGAAAATCGAAGCCTAAAAATACAGAGGCATCAAGAAGGAATTGTAGCGATGAATCAGTGAGATCTTCACCAGTTCATGGCAGCTGTTACAGTGCAATGGACTCAGAAGATCGTAAAGAGCATCTAAAAGAAGTCATTTCCTATTGCAAGAATTCCTGGGATCAGGTAATTCTCTTTCTTCTAGTTGTTTTTTACTGCACTTCGCATGAGACTTTCTTTTCATTGGTATTTTTGTTCGTGTATCCAGGGTGACCAAAATTTATCTCTGCAGAAGCTAAGTCCTCGTTCCCATTGATAATTATGAAATCTGTTTATAGTCAAATGACACCAAACAGGGAGTTAAATACTTCATTTTATGTACACAACTTAATCAGCTTCATGTCAATCATAAAATTGACAGTTTAAACTCGCAAACAATGTCCTATTTGATTTAATTTCAACCGATTTTGAACGATCTGGGTATTAAGAAGTAAAGAGCAATGTTAATTTATCAACTTGTTCGAATATCACCTAAAGCTCTATCATATGAACGCCTAGTGCTCTATAAAGATCTTCATCTATCAAACACCCCAGAATTTCAACTATCCTTCCCTCACGTCATAAAAGATGTTTAATCACTGTATTAAGTATGTCTAGCAGCTGCTTAAATGATTTGCAGGTCCAATACGAATAGCTTCGATATCAAACAGTCAACCTCACGCTGGAATGAAGGCAAAAAATCAGATACAGAGGCTTCCGGTCTTCAACAAGCAGAGCCACAACATTTTACTAAGTCCTCATCTTCAACATCTCTTCACAATGCACGGGTTACAACTTACAAGAACCAACAATCAAAAGTTATTGTATTTCCGTCCTTCCGCTCAAGAACTACAAGGATATGCAAACAGTCGAGAGATTTGTACGGGTCTAAGAATTTTAAGGAAAAGGGTGAAAATGGAAGGCCAGGGGTACACTAACTTTTGAGTTGATAGGTCAAGAGGTTGAAATTCAACAAAAAATGGGTTTATCACTTGTCTGCTTTGCTAACTTACATTGTATTTTGTTGACAGTAACGAAAAATGCATCTGGTCTTTAATCCATGACAATATAAGTGGAAACTGTTACTCTTTAATGTGTTCTTGCAAGGCAATTAGGTTTTCATTGACATTGATATAACAGAGCCAAATTCTAATATGGACGCTACAGAAGATTCTTAAGCTTAAGCTCAACGCTTCCTTTGGCTCTCTAGTGAAGGACAGAAGAAAGGAAATCATCAATCAGTGAGCTGTGAGCCGACAGAAACTACTGATAAGTACATCATATGAAAGCTTCTGAATTTCATACACACAGATGCCATTTTAACTTAAGCAATTTGGCAAGGAATGAAAAGAAAACCCATAACATTCTGAAAGTAAAATCACATGATATATAGCTAACACCAAAATGAACACAAATTCAACAACGTTAAACCATTATATCAGTAACTAAATCACCATAATAAGTCTTAAAACAACAATGAAAACTCATCAAAAACAGTAAGCAATGCTTAGACCTATCTAACCCTTCACCCTTTCAAGCTTTACTTCTCGGATGAGTTGGGTCCCCTCTTCTTTCCAAAACCAACAACTGCAAAATCAACAAAGAATAATCATCAGCATATGCAAACAACTCCTGCCTGCTAAAAAATTTCTCATCTGGGATCCGTTTGACTAACAGTACTATCTCAATTACAAATTTCATTTTTCCGTAATCACATAAAACATATTCACTTGATTATAAACACAACACAGCTTGATTATAAACCGAACTATCATTCAATCGACTTGTTCAACTTTATTTCTATTTCTAATAGTTAAAAATCAATTCATAAATCTGAATGAGCAAAAACGACAGCTTAGAACTACAGAACTACCTAATAAACGGTCCATGCTAAATTAACGATTTATTGTATAAAAAGAGGGGAAGAATCACCTGCAGTGACGAAACGGCGGTTGTATTGCATGCGCTTATGGGCACGGCCGCGTGGCTTCTTCTTCTTGTCTTGCTTAGCCACTTTTGGCGTTTGTCCTCTCACCTTACCGGCACGGGCCAAAGAACCGTGAACCTTACCTGATAAAAGGTCAAGTAAAACATAAACAGAATGATCAGAACAACGAGTTCGTGATTCAAACGACAAACACCATGAAAATAGTAAACAGTGGATCTGAAAAGTTAAAGTATCCTGGTGTTTTGAATTTACCCATTAGTGATTGCTGAAATCTGCTGCTGCTGCTAGTTGCTATCGTTCTCTTCTCTCGCTTTGAGCAGAGGCTAAGTTGAGCAGGAAAACAAGAAGTTTAGGGTTAGGGTTTTGGCTGACTATATAAAGTATCATTGAGTATATTGGGCCGGATTACAGCCCAATATGAGTTTTCTCAAACAAAGTCGGTAATTCATTTAAGTCCATGAAATTTGGACCTGGGCTCTCTGCTTATTATATTTTAAAAAATTCTCGTTAAACCCTATTTAATACCAAAAGAATCCTTTTTAATTAGGGTTTTTATTTGCACCAATTTCCTCCCAATTTCAAACTTAATTTCTAAATTAGGTTTTTCTATTTATATCTATTTTTCTCAATTTCAAATTTGAAACTTTTTTTTTTCTTCTGATTTAGAATCATTTTATTGTGCAATTATTTTCTCTATAACTTTAATAATATATTTTCATCAAACAAAAAATTATTTGAAATAAAAAAAAATGTTTTATTGATTTAGGAATTTTAGATTTAAGCTTTAGGTAAGAACTAAAACTTAAAAACAAAAACAAAAAATAAAAAATAAGTAAATTTAGAAATTATTAAATCATCGAGATTAAACTTATCAAAACGAAAATACACTTCTCAACGCAAATTTATGTGATTCGTTTTCTTATTTTAATATAATACAAAGTTAGACTATGATTGAACCAATATAATATCATTAATAAATGTAGCTAACTCAAAAATTCTTCAAAGGTTTGAATTTGTTGTGTATAATTTTTTCATTAAGCTTAGAGAATTGCGAGGTAATAGCTCGATCCAGAATCAGTTCGACTCTATTGATTGTCCGACTCAGCGTAAGCTCGACCTAGCATAAGCTAGTCATGACCAATCCTTACAGTTGTTCAAGCAGTTTACGGATAACTCTAGATCTCAGATATCTCGAAAGAGATCAGATCAACAGCAATCCTGGCACAATCTCAGCGCTCAATTGCGAGAATATCATAGTTGCATTTCAATTTTAATTGTAATCCTTTTATTTTCGTTCTTTCTTTTGTACATAATCTGTATATAAACCCCCTCCAACGATGAGAAAGGGTTGAAAAATTATTCTAAGATTATCATTGTAAGCTCTCACAACAAATACAATAACAGGTTTATCTCGTCGAACCACTTTAAAAATCTCTTTGCCATTTACCTTACTGCATTCACTATTCATTCATTGCTAGTTATCCGTAATCATGCACACATCAGTTTCAATCCCGTCAAGGTCAATGGATCACTTTAGTTGGTGCAGATTTCTATATCAACATTTTGGTGCTAGAAGGAGGGCCTCTGCCAATATCTAAGAAATTCTGGCAAACAACCATAGCGATTTAATCAGTCCAAGCCCACAAGGGTGCATACAAGATTAAAAAACACCACCGGAAACTATGACAATGTGGAGACCACCCATCAGGAAGTGTAATAGGACGTTGTTGGGCGTTGACCACCTATGCTGCCAACTCAGCATACCGCAAATAACCAAGGAGCAGGGACGTCAAACCCCGAAAACAACCAAATGGTGGAGATGATCAGAACAATGGTTGCACAAGCGGTGCAACAGAACGTGGTTGAGCTGAGAAATCAGCAACCAACCGCACAAAACCTTGACCGACCACACTTCACCGATATCACCTCGACAAGTCAAAATTCAGCTGGTGACCAATCTGGATCATCGGTGTCAAGGGGCAACCGACACCCCTGACATCACAGAGTACACTCTACTCATAAGCATGAGTCTTGTAGGCAAACTAACCTCGGGAGGCGGCCAGGGAAACAACTAATGGGTGAAAGCAAAGGTAATGGTCGCCCACGAGACGTTCAACCTGCTCGACAATATCCCCAACGTCAATGTGCCAGTCTTAACCCACGCCTAAGACAAGCTAGATCCTCGCAAGCTCGCGAAACAAGTCATGCGCGCTAATCTGGCAATGACCAATGTTCCAGCTATAACCGATGTTACGAGTAGCGCACTAACGAACATAATAACACCTATCAACCAAGCCATCATGACTCAACTTCGCGCATCAATACATAAATTAGAGGGGGCTCACAAGCAACAGACTTATGAACTCACTTACTCGAGGTAAGACTGAACAGAGCCAGCTAGGGCAATCATAACAAAGACTTGGATAGTGTGAAGAAATGCTCGATGACCTAAGAGCCCGCCAGAACAATGCGGCTGAAGAAATGGTGAGCTCTCCCTTCACAAAGGAGGTTCACCAGAGCCCGCTTCCATAAAGATTCAAGGCGCCAGAAAGTAAGTTCGATGAGAAAGGAGATATTAAAGACCACCTTGACACTTTCAATGACTTGATGGAACTGCGCTAGGTCTGTGACTTGGTGAAATGTCACTGTTTCGCGGTCACATTGGTAAGGGATGCCAAGAGGTGGTACAAAATACTCAAGGTGAACTTCATCAGTTCTTGGCAACAATTCTCCACATTGTACTTGCAGCAATTCCAAACAAGGAGACAGTTCGCAATGCCGCTCAGTTACTTGAGCAACTTTCGTCAGGAAAGAGACGAAATGTTGACCTCGTATTTAACGAGGTTCCAAAACGAGCAAGCAAAGGTCGCGAATGCACCTAAAGAGTCAATCCAAACTTTGTTGATTGTAGGCATCAAGGTGAAAATGGAGCTATGAAAGAGCTCCAAAGTGAAGATCATGTGAGCCTGACCAAGTTTTACTAGATGGCTGCAAAACACCAGCAAGTAGAAAGCTCGCTAGCAACCCTAGCTAGAAGCTTGCAATGAAAAGCTCCGGACAGGTGACAAGATCGCCCATCAGGTGGAGGGGCCAAGACCCCAATGATAGAGATAGGAACAAGGCCCAAAAAAGACAAAGAATAGATAACTACGGGGACAGACAACTATTCCCGCGATACATAGAATACACCCCCCTCATGCAAGACATAGCCCACATATACGAAGTCTCCCATGAGGCGGATAGACTGCCCACTCCGAAAAGAATGAGGAGGCTTCGGACAGAAAAGATCGGCAAAAATATTGCCAATACCACTGAGACATTAGGCACAATACCAACGAGTGTTAGGTCTTAAAGGATGTCATCCAAGACCTAATACGAAGGGGCCATCTAAAGGAATTTGTTAAGGAGGCACTAGCTCGCGAAAATACTGGCGAGCAAAATAACCAGGTCCAACATGCCCCAACCAACGCCAACAATGATGTTTTGGTGGGCATGATCTATGGGGGGTTCAATATCGCAGGGAGCTCACGACGTGCCCGCGAGCAATACACTCGAGAGGCTAGAAAAGACTAAATCCCCCGAATAATGAGTTGTGAACAGAAGTCACCTAAGCGGCCCAGACAAGAGAGCGAGATAGTAGGATTTACGGTCGAGAAATGTGAAGAATCCCCTCACCATAATCATGATGCGATCGTAATCGCAGCCAGGATATGTAATGCTAGAGTATTGAGGGTGATGGTCGATAATGAGAATGCAACGAACATCATATTCTTGGGAGCTTTCTGAGAAATGGGGTTCATGGAGAGAGACTTGAAGGCGTGTCCTTCACTGCTCTATGGATTCACTGGGGACAACCTGGTCTCCAAAGGAATGATCGACCGTCCCGTGACTCTAGGGGCAGAGCCCAAGATCAAGACAGTAATGGCCGAATTCTTAGTGGTAGACTGCCCGACCACATACAATGTTATCCTCAGAAGATCGATCCTGGATGATTTGAGCGTAGTCACTTGAGTGTGTTGCCAAGCAATGAGGTTCCCAACTCCTGGTAGAGTCACGACAATCAGAAGCTACAGAAAGAAATCGTGGGAATGTTAAAATTGAACCATTAATGTTGTACTAAAATGACCGCTCCCGAGGACAATGGTCATTACAAAATTCGAGCCACACCCTGGACCTCTCGAGGATACCATAAATCCTTGTATCCATAGAGAAGAGCCCGTAGTAGGGCCAACAAAAGAGCTGAGAGAGATATGTGTTAGCGAGGAATATCCAACTCGCATACTGAAGGTTGGCAGCAGCCTGAGCAAAGAAATGGTTGATAATCTGGTAGGGTTTCTGAAGAAAAACCTCGACGTGTCTGTATGGGTGCATGTAGATATGGTAGGGATTAGCCCCGAGGTAATGTGCCACAGATTGAACATCGACCCAACAACTCAACCAATAAGATAGAAGCAAAGGTCTATGGATGCAGAGCACTCTAAAGTGCTCAAAAATGAAGTTGATAAGCTTCTGAACATTAACTTCATCAGTGAAGTGAAGCACCCGGATTGACTCGCCATCCTAGTCATGGTTAAGAAGTTGAATGGCAAGTGTAAAACTTGCGTCAACTTCACATATTTAAATAAAGCTTGTCCCAAAGACAGCTTTCCACTGCCATGGATCAACCAGTTAGTAGATGCGACAATTGAAAACGCATTACTCAGCTTCATGGATGCATACTTGGGATATAACCAAATCCTAATGCATTAGCCCGATGAAAAAAATACCTCATTTATTACTTACCATAAGATTATTGTTACAGGATTATGCTGCTTGGTGAACAAGATGTTCGCCGACCAACTTGGCAAAACTATGGAGGTATACATCAACTACATGCTCGTAGATTTCATGAGTCGGCATGATATTAAGTACATCTCGAGAACGGCAATCAAAGGTCAAGCTTTGGTAGATTTCATATCGAAATTTTCTTATCAGCTAGAAGGGGACATAAGCCCGTCAGGGGCAAGCACCTCTGGGGAAAGTGAACAACAAAAGCCAAAGCTCGACGAGTTATGGCATTGGACCTTGTATGTAGATGGGTCCTCAAATGAGAATGGGGCAAGAGCGGGGCTTTTACTCGAAAGTCCCGAAGGAAACCCGTAGTAAGGTTCGGGTTTGCCACCTCCAACAACGAAGTCAAGTACGAGGCATTGCTCTTGGGGATCCGTCTCATCAAGAAAATGAAGGCAGAGTCCATCAAGATTTATAGTGACTTCCAACTCGTAGTCCATCAGATTACCAATGAGTATCAGGCGAATGAGGATAGAATGACATCCTACCTCTAATTGGCAAAATCCGAGCTTGAGC